GCTACAATTACGAGTTTAATCATGGAAAAATCCTCCATAAACTTAACAATTTGTTAGCGAGTGGATGATAAAGAAAACAGACGTTATTCAAATTAAAGAGAAAGCTTTCATCGATCATGAAATGTCTCAAAACATATAGTGGAGGGAAGTTCTTACCCAAGAACGGAAAACCAGTGCTCTTTCCATCAAGGCCATCACTCTAAGCTGGATATCTTGTGAGCTGTTTTGATTCATATTTACCAAGGTTGTAGGTGTATCCCGTAGGTAATCAATGACGCCTCCGTTTTTAAACTTTAACGATCTCCTCATGGGTAAAAAATATAGGGTTCCAATGAACTTAGACAATGAAATTGTTCAATTGCTGCATGCCAAGTTTTTTTAGAGCAATTTATTCTACGCCAAAGCAAGAGAGAATCAAATTAAGCTGGCTTGAATATCTTTACCTTCACCTTCAAGTTAACTGGATGAGTTAAGTTTAATTAATCTCAGGACTCATGTGTGCTTCCACAAAGTGTGTGTAATATGAAGTAATATCATAAAGATGAAGACTGACCAACGAAAATAAAACTCACCGCCTGAACTGGTACCACATCCCACGGTCGCTGCGGTGAGTTAACGCCTCTAGTAATGCGTATTAGAATAGTTACACCCAGAGTGTTAATTAGGACATGGCATAGACTGTGGTAAAAGTAGTTATGTCACTGGACTAATTCCTTAAGGTCCCATTTCATTTGCAAATTTGTTCCTCAAGTCGAACATTCCTAAATGGTAATTAACACCTTTAAAATAATCTAGGTTAACTGGGGCATGCTAGGTTGACCATACAAAACAACAACTCGGTGAAGCCAAAACATACCAAAGAGAATTTATTTATGCAAGTTTCTATAAACATATCAACAATTCATTGATCTAACAAAATTGACAACAAAATGAATAAGAACACTTTACCTCTCTCTCTCTCTCTCTCTCTCTCTCTCTCTCTCTCTCTCTCTCTCTCTCTCTCTCTCTTTATTTTTGTGTCTTTTACCACGAGGCATGACGAAATGTTAATCTTAGTTTCCCAGATTGTTTTTGTTAACTCTGCGGAAAACAAGGTAGAAACTGCATGAGTTTTTGTTGAAGCTATAAGAATGAGGTAGCTAAGAACTTATGAATCTTGATCAACAACTAACGTGTTTTTTTTTTTATACTGAGCAAGAGTGATCATCTGATGGCGAGTCCAGTCTGCCACTGAGAGATGCGATAAGGGCCCACCTTTTATTTTAGTGTTTAAGCACAAAACTATGTTTATAGAGAGCGTTATCGGCATATCAAAGTCAGCTCAGTTCATTCCTACTCACGCACTGATTATGACAGCGCCTACGACTCGTATGTTGCTTCACGGCATTGAGACAACAAAGGTATTTTCGCTGTTCTTCTAAAATCTTAGCTGTTTTTATTTCTCGGGCTTCCGTAAGAAAGCCCGAGTCTTAAAATGCAAGCCGTTCTTGGTCGCCAAAAGGGAGGTCATGGTCCCAGGCGTTCCTTGCTTGCGTAAACCGCGGAAACTGGGGATGAGAGTGCGACAGCTTGTGTTGTCATATGCTCGTTCTTCGTAAACATCATAATTTACCGAATGCTGTGCTTCGGGAAGGCCGCTTTGCAAATATTCCTGTCTTATACGCTCATCTTACATACAAACGCACACGCCGTTCGTGGTAGGCCCGCGCTAAATGATGTCGAGCGTTTTCAGAATGGGCCGGTCCACGAGCTCTATAGCTTGAAAGCTAGCCAAATGTGCAAAGTTCATACTAGTTCTCGCGAGATAACAGATGAGATTTCAAACTATGAAAATGCTGGCAAAACTGTGACTGCCGACTTAACAACAAACTTATGTTGAGATGAACACCTCACTTACTGAAAGAATCAAGAATGCTCGTTAACAACTTCGATGGTAGTGGTAACAACAGTGAATTGGATAAGGATACTGACAGAAGCAACTTGAATAGTAAGGCTAAATATCTGAGCCTAGCTCTTCCGGTAAATATCCTGTTTCTGTTATTGGTTTTTATTGGGCTCAATACTTGTGAAGTACGATTTGGTATTTCATACATAATTACTATTATTATTGTACAACCGATCGTGAATGTTGGTTTCCTCTTCGCATGGAGTTTTATGTGGTTAGTAGAAGACACAGTGGATGGAAAACTAGAAAAAGTTGTCAATATGACTAATGTACACAAACATAATGATGTTACAGTTTCGATAAAAGTACAACAATTAAGATCTCGTCATGCAAAGCTCATGTGAACTCTCCTCGAGCGCATAGTTAAATTGAATCTACTCTCTCTGACTGCTAATCAGCCTTCATCGTTTTCATGCACTCGAATTTTTGAAAACCGAAAAGAATTGCTGCGGTACCATTCTGACATTTTGTGCTCTTTCTAATTTGCAAAATCCATGATCAGCCCGTGGGCATTACCGCTGTATAATGCCCTGCTCTGATCTCGCCTTTAGCCAATCAGAACGCGCGTTATATCGGCCACAAGCCTAAGCTATGTAACAAGTTGGAACAAAACTGCAAAATGTCGTAATTTCTCAGTGCTCTAATATAACATCGGTTTAGCTTTGTCCGCGCCTTTTCATCCGGAATTGATCTTGTGTTACTGTCTATAATCGGTGAGAATCGCCCCGTAGAGCATTTGAAATTTCGCTTTCTTTGCGCTATCGCCACAAAATATACATCATTTGATAAGGAAGTGGTATTTGTCGATTCAGCTTTACAATAACGAAGTTGAAAAATGAATCTGTTTTTCTTTCAGACAAAGCTATATTCTTATAGTATCTTTTGGTCTCTTCGTTTGCATGTCTTAGGAACGTATCGCCAATGATAATTTCATAGGATACAAGCCGCAATTTGCCATTTAAGTATGAAGGTTAAATTTGTCGCTAACATTCAGACGCTAAAACTTAAATGTTTGTTATTTGAAGTGGTCAATCATCTCTGTTTGCTACTCACTTGGAATTTATCGATCGCACTTTACTGGGTAAAATAACTACCTTTGCTCGGTGCTTCAGAATAGAGACGAAAATAATGGGGAGATCAGAGATTCATATATCTCTGTGGATTTAAATTCCGTCACGAGATGGTAGGACTGCAAAGACTCTTAAGTCACAAATGCCAGTCCTCGGAAAATTTTAAAATATTGCTTTTCTGAGAAAAATTACAAATCACGTGATCAGATTTGTTTTCTTCATCCATTGGCTGAGTTACGAATACACTCACTAACCGTGTACCTGAATCTTATTGAAGAAACGTTGGTCTGAGTCTGAGTTTTCACGACCCAAATGCCCAAACGATATCATATTTGTGCAACTATGTTTGTTACGAAGAGAAATTTCAAACTCTTGCGATTCAAGCAATCGTCCATTTTCTCGGAACTGATATTTAATTCTTTTAATTCAACACAATTTGTATAGCGCTAACTCCACTAATTGACCAAAGCGCTTTACAATTCATAATATTAAAATAATTTAAAAGATCCCACTGGTAATAAAATATGAATTTTGGATATGAATTTTCCTGTGCATTTACATATTCAACAGTTCCCGGAAAAACTACAGGTAACCGGAAATGATCCGAAAACACTAGTACTCAGAATAAACAGAAAGGATACAAACACGTCGCGGCAGGCATGACAAGAGCATCACATGTAAATGTCACATTTTCAGTCATCACATCTTTCACATTGGAAACCACAACCATATTAAATGGAACACAAACGCGCCAGCAATGAATAAAAGATACCGACATTAATTATGGACAAATGAATAAAGGCTAATAGTCTCGAAAGAAACTGTTTGGGGCTGCGTCGGTGGGAGTAACGAAATAATTTGGATATATCAACAAAGTTGAAGTGGTAAATTGGCCACCGTAACGATTAAAAAAGCTGACGTTTCGAGCGTTAGCCCTTCGTCGGAGCGAATAGAGGAATTGTGGGTTGTGTGTGCTTTTAAAGGCAGAAAATGGAGNGCAAAATCCGAGAAAACGCGCGCTGGTGGCATGTTGAGAGCCCTGGCAAAGATGGGATACGTGGGCAGGGAGGCTGAAACTCACTGAGCTTGTAGTCCAGCGGGATGGGTATTACGGCGCACAAAGCGCGCGTCTCAAACAATAGGCACGGCCGCGTGGCATGCCTGCAAAGGCAGAGAATGGAGCTACGTTATTGGTGGGAACATGGCAACGAGAAAAACAAGAATAAATTAGTAGAATGAAAAGCGTTCGTTAATTATGGACAAGTCGCGTTGAAAAATGTGAAAATCAAACTTTAAATCAGGACTAAGGTAACTGATAAGAGATGCATCAACGGCTGTTAGAAAATGGTAACTTACTCTTTCCCAAAGTTGGTGCAAATTCATTCTAAGTAAATATTGTTCTATTGTCATTTCACAACTGTAATCAGATGCCAATAAAAATGCCAGTACTTTGGTAGTACTTTGGAAGTACTTTGGTAGTACTTCAAGTGTACTTTTGTCAGTACTTTGCTTAATAGGCAAAGTACTTCAAGTACACTTGAAGTACTTTGTTTTTTAAACGCAACCCATCTTATATGGGTAGTCAGGAAGGAGATATCATAAAAAAAAACGAGTTTCCTTAATCATTGCCACAGAAAAGGTCTGAAACTAGAATCTGGTAGAGAAAGACCTACTGATCAACGTGAAGTAGTTCGTAAAGTTGAATTGTGGTATACGTTTTAGTAGTTCTAGAGTTGAATTTTGGTAATACGTTTTAAAATACAGGGCTCTTTTGTCATGTACGCGCTCTGCATTTCAACATGGAAACGAGAGTGAGATCTAAATTGACTTTCACCTCCCAATGGATTAGCAAATGCGATTAAAAATTGATGGAGGCTTCACAGCTCAGTAAGTAGAAGTGAAGCATTTGACAAGATAACAATAAGGAATGTGAAGTGACTGCTGACGTTAGTATTTGTCCTATACTATTTGAAATATCAAGTAGATCAATTTCCGCGCACTTGATTTTTATTTTCGCGATTATAAGATTATTACCATGAACTCAGCAAACTGGTCTTATTTGCTTTTGAAATTCTGACACCTTCTTAATTAGTATCTTAAGCTTATTTGAATAATAAATGGTTGTTCAATAATAAATGTTTTACTGGATTAGGAAATACAAATTAGTAAAAACATAACCGCATCATAATTCTAACTACTTCGTTTGATGATATCGTAATTGCATCCCCTAGAATTCACGAATAATATGAGTTACATCTTAAATTTCTTAAGGGATTGAAGCTGGTAGATCGGAGAGATTCTCTTTCAATCGAAGAGATATAGATATGTATTAAAAAATATTTCTATTAGTAAAACCACAGATGGTTTCCAAAATAAGATCATAAACAGACGCTCGGGATGACTTTCTACAAAACACTCTCTTCTACAACATACAGCTTCTACACACAGCCATTATTTATGTAGCCAAGCAAACAATTTGTGTGTCCTTATCGGGAGCTTTGGGTCGTGTAAACTACGTTACTAAGTCCTTCTTCGACCTATCTTTTAGCGAGGCCGGGCTGGCAAACCTTATTTTAAACGGACTTTATCCCATCGAGTGGAATCCATATATTCCTGGTCCCCTGATTTTTTTTTTTTTTGTTAAGCATTAAGTTCAGGTAAGATATTCTTTTGGTTGAGGCTGTCTAGATTTCGGAAGAGACGCTGTTTCTTTTTCACATATGTTATAGTATCTAGACTAAAAATCATTGCTTTTGAGCCTATTTTAAAGTTTCTTTGACAGTCTTTGCATGTTCCGCGTCGGGTAATATATTTAGTTCCTCGGCCAGTCAGACTCATTGACCACACAGTGTCTTTTTTCGAAGGATTCTATCAATTTCTTCCACATGGAATGGTATAGCAGTAATTCTTTGTTACCTGAAAGAAACAAAAACAAAAAAAGAAAGTTGATGTGAAAATCAACTCAAAAAGCAGACCTGTTTCATCCTTTTGACATCAGCTAATGAGAAATTACTGTTTGATGTCAGCTTACAGGGGTAAAGATAGAGCTGAAATAGGCTGTTTCTTAAAAGCTTTTCCTTTTTTCTCCGCTGGGAGGAGAGGATCCACAAAACTTGGAAAAACCGCAAATCTGTTGCCCATGATTGTCCTCAATTACGGTGGAAGATGCAGCATCTGCTGCATTCTTCACTTTTTTATATGCAGTTCACAGAATGAAAGAAACGTAATGAAAGATTACCGGTATGTGAGTAAATAAATACATATTAGTGGTAAAATATCAACACGACTATATTTCATGGAAATAGATGAAATAAATAATGTTATAATATCTTTGCTTTCCTACCGATGATACAAAGCCCTTTACGAGCTCTAGTTAGCCCTACATTCATCAGGTGCTCGTCTGCTAAAAACCCCAAATGTTCACGGATCCAATATAATGATCGCTCTGGGTGGTGTTCATCCTCATTCAGTGAACGCACCAGAGATAAGATGACGTAATTCCATTCTCTTCCTAAAAAGGAATGAAATTTGAGTTAGATCTTGCAAGTATGGGGAACACCATTACACTACTTTTCTATCATTTTAATTTCCATCAAATATTTGTATTGGTCCAAAAAAACAACCAACTATTAGGTAATTGATAATTATTAGTTAAAAATCCGCAGAAACGGGTGTTAGTGAATAAATCGTTGTTTTTTTTTTATGAAAATAAGGCTGGATAGTTCAAAATCGTCGACAAGCACGACAGAATACGAGATTTTCAGTAGGTGTCGGCTGCCGTCAAAAAAAAAAATGTCTCGATTTCTTAGTCGCCTTCTTTTCGTTAAGAAAGGTGTGTAAGACGAGAACATTAAACTGTAATGAAAACTGAAAAAAAATGTGCTACAAAAAAAAAACATAAGAGTAAACAACATGATAGGCTTTTTCGCATTCTGAAAAACATGGTTTTACATTTCTCGCTGCTTGAGCTCTCTTGCAATCACAACCTGGCGCGGGGAGTGGTTTTCCATTTCTCGTTGGTTGAGCACTCTTGCAATCACAACCTGGCGCGTGTTCACCACGCCATATTGCTTTGCATATACTTCCAAAGAATGCTTAAGATAAGAATTTCAGAGACTTTACAGCCTTAAAGGGGGAGGGGAGGGGAGGTGTGCATGCCCGAAGACCCCAGGCGGGGGCTCTCGAATCAGCATTTTTCTTAGTGATGAGTATTTAAAATTTAGTTCACATAAAACTGACGATATAATGCTAAACGACGATGATAAACGAAACAAAAGTTACTTTACCTTGGCTCTTTGCAATAGTTGTAACGCAGATGTCTTTGCACTGTGATGTTTTGGCCAACGCTTTTCTTATTCTCTCCTGCTGTTCTCTGTAAGGTGACAGGATAACGATTTTTGACGAGGACACCCTGTAATTATTCACAAGGCAATTTGCCACATGCACCTGTCAGAAAAGCCATACCCAAAAGTCAGAGTTGAGCACCATCGACAGCTATGAGATTTACGTTTTGCAAGGTTACAGTCCCGTCGTTGGTTGGGCTACACAAGCTTTAGAACAACAATGTGAGTTATAGATACAAGACTAACGCTAGGTACATATTAAGTTCCTTAGTTGGTAACACCATAACTATTTAAAACATATAGATTGCTCCTTTTTTACGGCGGTTCTCCCAAGTTTTGTGTCTAACGAAGATATAAAACAAGCTTACTGCTTTGTGCCTCGAATTAAGAGTCATTCAATATTTTCTCCAGAAACACCTCTCGTGCTTAACTCTAGTACAGCCACTGCTGACGGAGAGAGCGAGTCAAGTCACACTTACCGCTTTTCTGACTTCTTTATCATTCGCTTTAGATTGCTCATTGCTAAGTGCTGTCTTAATGAAGGTAACGTCTTCTTGCCCCACAACATGACAAAATGCCATAGGAACGTCTTTAACGGGCCAAAAGGATTGTAAATGGGTACCCTGTTTCTTTACAGATGCATCCGTTTCCAGCTGATTGTTATAGAAGTGCTCGGAGGGAAATTTGCAAATTTCTTCGTGCTGTGAATATATCAAAGTTATAAGTGTGAAGCAGCCATATTTAAATTTGGACAGTCACTCGCCTTTTTTGTGATATCGAAACTCTTAAAACTTGTCATCATATAAATTCTTTTTAAAGTAGAGAATCTAAAATTGATTCACGAATGCTAACTTTATGGAGTGCTGGTAACAGTACTCGCTGCTCATAAGGGGAAAATTCTGGGAGCATAGAGACATTGAAGCGCCAAACTATACGAAGAGAAGAACAACCGTATGTAAATTTTGGTAGCTTAGATTTGATATGTACTTAGTATGTGATGAGATTAGAGTGACCTTTCAGATCTTCTTTTGTAAAGGCATGTCCCTCAGGATTCATGATTACACAAAAAATTAAGTCAATCTTGAGGGCGGGTAAACCATGACAAATCATTGCAAAGCTATCACATTTAGAATAAGTAGCCGTAATTGATGTAGAACTGAAAACGTAAAAACGTAAATGTTTTAATTTACCATTCTGTATTGAATCCGGAGCATCTTGGCTTTTCCAGAGAGCCTTTCAAACATTGAAACGTTGAGGCCCAGATTCTGTGCCTTTTTGTCACGAATGACGGGCTGTAACTGTTTGTGATCGCCAATTAATACCACTTGCTGCGGCGCCAAGAACGCGATTGGTAAGAGCGATTCAATTTCCATGCACATGCCACATTCATCCACAATACACTGCTTGATATTGTCTTTGCATGATCTGATTACACTAGACTTGGCCGCAACTGCGCATGTGCATAAGATGATCTGCACACCCGTTCGCTGAAATGCCCATTGCTCAGCCTCTTCAATAAGCTGAGTGGTAAAAGAGGTAGAGCAAAATAGTGTTAGTAAAAACAGATACATGTCTCTACATACATAAGTTAAAGAATTAAAGAGGGTGCATCGATTCTCTGTGACTCTGATTTTCGCGCCTAAGCGCTTGTCAGACAGAACTTTATTTAAAGAAGAACATACCTCCTCATATACAAATTGGATAAGTAGCTAATTAATTCACTGGTGTGATGATCTAGTCTACGTGTGGAATAAAGTTTCTATAGAGCTATTGTTGGCAACTTATGAAATTTGTTAAGTAAAAATTATTCTCGTGGCGGCATTTAGAAATGAGTTCTGTTCTTCTGTTTAGTAAACGCTGTTTCTTGGCTCTAACTAAATAAAGTTTTTCTGTGAGGCACAAGTGGCACCGCTTGCTTTTGTTGCTGTAGGCCGGGGCGATCGCTAAAATACTCCAGTTAATTGTGAAATTGGTGTTGTTGTCTTTGAGTGTCCAGATATGCTTTGATAGGTCCGTGCTGTTTGAATAGTTTCTGTCCCGAAAAGAAAGTTTATGTTGTGTGTAGCGTTGTTTAAAAGTCCCTTCTGTTAGTCCAAGGTAATTCTTTCCGGTTATGTCGCTTTCTGTTGTTACGCTGGCGTTGTAGACGACGCTTGAAGTGAGGCAGTTGTTTTTCAGAGGGCAGACAGAAGGGACTTTTAAACAACGTTACACACAACACAAACATTCTTTTCGGAACAGAAACTATTAACTATTTAACGCCTTGTTTAGGATTTTGGTCCGATTTACAGTTGTAGTTAAGAGTGGGTCTACCCTTTTCTTCTTTTATCAATGCTTGCCGCATTGCCTCTTCGGTTGCGCCACCCATATTAGCATATTCAGTTTTTTTATCTCTTGGTTTTTAGGTTTTGTCTCTTGTGTTTTGTCTATTGTTTTCTTTGTAGCTTGGTTTTTTGTCGTCACATATAAGCACCAGTTGATTAGTCGTCACCTGTAATTACGTAATCACTAGCACTTCGATCTTATTTAAAGCTCTTTTTTTATTTCAAAAGTTGTAAACAACTGAAGAAGGTCTCTGACAGAAACGTTTTTATTAAATTTAATATCTTTTTTACGTCAGAAATTGTCCATCCTAGCATATTTTTAAACTTTCTATATATATACATATACGAGAGAGGCCTACTGGACCGCACAACTTTGTACACGTAGTCCCCATGGACTTAACAAAAGATGCGAATTCAGATCGAAAAATCGCGTCCGCTATGATACGTAATTGGGACACAATTTACACAATGCAATTGAATTCTTCGCTACCAGTTGTGGTTATTTCGCCCCTTACACATTCTTGCCTTTTACTCATTATTATATCGTATTATTTAGGTATGTAGTGCATTACGTAATATTATTTATATTTCTTACGTTTAGTATAAATTCAGGTCATTCTGTAAACCTACTAGGATTTTTAGTTTTTAATTTTTATGTAAATACGTTCCACCTGAAGAAGGCCGAAGGCCGAAATGTCGCCGCATTAAAGCTGGAACAGTTAGAAGTTTGCTTCATGTTTCAGCGTCTTACACTTAACTTAATTTACATTGAAGCACTGTATCCTCCTTGGATGCTTCTGCTGGGAGCTCATCGTTTGGTGCGCCTTTTCATTCTGTATATATATATATATATATATCTATATATATTGTGGGAGGAAAAAGACAAGTAAACTACAAGTTCATCCCTACAAGCCTGTTTCGTGGTCGCCCACTCAGTGGGCGCCCACTCAGTTTCGTGGTCGCCCACTGAGTGGGCGACCACGAAACAGGCTTGTAGGGATGAACTTGTAGTTTACTTGTCTTTTTCCTCCCACAATATATATAGATATATATATATATATATATACAGAATGAAAAGGCGCACCAAACGATGAGCTCCCAGCAGAAGCATCCAAGGAGGATACAGTGCTTCAATGTAAATTAAGTTAAGTGTAAGACGCTGAAACATGAAGCAAACTTCTAACTGTTCCAGCTTTAATGCGGCGACATTTCGGCCTTCGGCCTTCTTCAGGTGGAACGTATTTACATAAAAATTAAAAACTAAAAATCCTAGTAGGTTTACAGAATGACCTGAATTTATACTAAACGTAAGAAATATAAATAATATTACGTAATGCACTACATACCTAAATAATACGATATAATAATGAGTAAAAGGCAAGAATGTGTAAGGGGCGAAATAACCACAACTGGTAGCGAAGAATTCAATTGCATTGTGTAAATTGTGTCCCAATTACGTATCATAGCGGACGCGATTTTTCGATCTGAATTCGCATCTTTTGTTAAGTCCATGGGGACTACGTGTACAAAGTTGTGCGGTCCAGTAGGCCTCTCTCGTATATGTATATATATAGAAA